TAGCAGCAATTACAGCAAGAACACGTCGACACATACTTTCAACAAGATTTTTTAAAATTGAACCATCAATTTTAAACTACTCTTCCTGGAGCAAATTTTAGAGTTCCGACTCATCGCTTGGTAGAGGAATGTGCTTATGTATACGACACTCCAATTCATCTTATAAATGTTCAATGGGGTTAAGGTCCAGGCTATATGAGGGCCATGGAAGTTGTCAAATACCATTTTCGTTAAACCAACGTTCAGTAAATTTGGAAGTGTAAATTTTAGCATTATCATCTTGGAACACATAATTTTTTTGACCAACTACGTTTATTAAATTGTTTAAATAGGATACATAGCAAGTTTCAAGAATTTCTACATAATCTTTTGAATCCATCCTGCCATAAACCCAAACTAAAGGCCCAAGACCGTATATACTAAAACACTCCCAAACCATTACACCTAACCTTCCCGACCTAAATGTTGGAACCAAACATTAAACATTGTATTTTTTTTTTGGTTTTCTCCAAGTATATTTACAACTATCCCCTCCAAACACCTCAAACCTAGATTCGTTACTCCAAATAACATTTTTCCACCTTTCATCCAAACCTATTTTTGCCCTTACCCAATCCAAAAGAGCCACAGGAGAGTCCTCATCTACAAATGGTTTTTTTAAACCAACCCAACTATAAAACCCTTCATTATGAAGGTGCCATTGTATGGTTCGTGTGGATACTTCTATGGAGGTTGCTTCAACGAATTCGTTCATCAAAACATTAAGCGTGACCTTTCTGTCCATTTTTAAAATGCGAATTAGGTGCCGAACACCACGTTCAGTTACTTTAGGAGGTCGTCCAGGACGAGAAAAAGATACAGTTTCTTCAGTCTTTTTGTAGTATGTAATAACATCATTGACGGTGCTTTTTGCAAATTTTAGAGTCTTTGCGATTCTTATTTGCTTTACACCGTTTTTTCATGCACCAATAATTTGGTTGCGTTGTTTACAGGTAAGCTGTTTCCTTTGTTTTATAGTAAAAAAAAAAATAAAAAATCAAGAAAAAATAGATACACTAGTAGGTTCGAATAAAACTGTAAAAAATTTTTTTTTTGGGCCAGTATAGTAATTTTCAATAAAAAAAATTTTAAAAACAATGAGGTCATATGGATGATCTTCACCGAAATTGAAAAATCTGGTGATTTATATCAGGGAAGTGTACATTATTTGGTAGTAAGCTTCATATATATAGTTCATCTTATAATTCAAAACTGATTAATATTTCATATATTTCGGTAAGAAAAGGATATTACTGTATAATCATAAGTTTATATGATCATATTAAATTCATTCTATGAATTACTTTATACTAATTTTCATAGTAGTAACATTTTTCATTACTAAAGGTACTTTGTATTTTTCAGATCTAGGATTATCTAATAAGAAAAGCAAATTATTTACGAATTATATTGCTTTAGAAATTTTGCTAAGAAAATAACATTTATACAAGAAGCAGATATCTGTAGTTTTTGGAGCAATTTTATAATTGAACATTCGTTTAATTGGCTAATGTAAATCAATTACCCAGGTAACTTATTTGTGTTTTAAAGTACTTTTTTAGAACTGAATGTTTCATAATAAAAAATAGCCACAAAAGCCATTTTTAGCTTTGAACGAATGCTAATATTCACTATACAAAAGAATCTCAAAAGAATATTCCTCCTCGTGGACTTTGCCATTTATTGGGACTGTACTGTGCAGTGAGGGTAACTGGAAGTATTTTCATCTAAAACTACTTTGTTTCATAAGATTTAAATAAATTTCTTATTGTTAACTATTCAATTTGAAAGGTACAAGCTCTTTAGCAATAGAAGATTCAAGTTCAATGTTTAAATTTGGTTGCTTGGCTAGTGGGCTGTCAACCATAAATTAAAGTTTTGGTTTATATGCTGTATTATAGATTCTTTAATTGGTTTAGGTTTATTAACAATAAAATATTATTCTCTAAGACATATGTGATAATTTCATTTGTATATATTTATTGATTTGTAAGCTTTATAAGCTTCTTTCTACAAAGTTTTTTAAACAATAAATTTTAAAAACTATGTAATTGATAGTTAATTATCTACAAAAATTAAAATATCAGTGCTATTACTATATATTATAAATTACCATATTACTTATAATTATAGTTTCGATCCATAATCCATATAGGATTTAAATTAAAAACCATAGAGATAGAATCTGGATTTAACAATTGATATTGGATTTACCTAAATTAGATTTTTATCCAGATATACCAAAGAGGATTTAGATTTAATCCGAATAGTTTTTAAAAATTAGAATTGCAACACTACTTATAATAGTAAACCCACCACATAGTATACCCAGATATGAATTATGTAATCTATATTAATGGGGTTTTTCAAATATTTGAACTGTTTATTATAAATATAAAATGTGTATATTATTTGCTATATATTAAACTTAGAGTTATTATATATTTTAAGATTAGTAAAATGTAAGAAACTTAGTTCTTGGTATAATAATTTATAGTATTATACTAAATTAGTAAATTAGTATGAATTTAGATTAAATAGTTTATATCATAGATTCTCGAAATAGCGGGTATCTGCATGCTATTTTGACTATGTATGTGTTATTTCGAATATGCCTATAAGCGTTATTTCAACATAAAGTATTAATTCTGGAATTTGATTGTTGTTAATATTATAAACAGATCGAATGAATAAGTATTAAGTGAATATTGGATACAATTTTCTGATATGCTACCAAGGTGTGTACTATTTTGGGACATGTATAGGCATTATATCAAAGCCATCTATGCTATTTTTAGAGGCATGATTTTTGAAATAATACCCCTGCCTGCTATTTCGAGAATTTACAGTACTAAAAAAAAGATTGTTAGAAAAATATTTTTAAAAAAATAATTATTAAAAATATAAATATTAGGAAAGTGTTATGAATTTTATATAAATATACAAAAAATATAAATTTATAATAATACAGTAATATAGTAATTTATTAATTTATATGTAGTATAATAAAATATATAAATCTAAATATAAAAATATTATAATTGTTTAATATATTCTATTGCTTCTTGAAGATCTTTATTTATTTTATCATTATTATTAGTATTATCTTCATCATTATCACTATCATTATCACTATTACTATCACTATTATAATTATTATCATCATCTATTTCTTCTTCTGAATTTTCTTCTTCCAAATCATCTTTAGTTAATTCATCATTACCAGTTTTTTTTAATCTTTTTAAAAATGAATTTATATTTGAAAAAATTACTTTTTTATAATATTGTAAACAATAATTACATGTTAAATGTATATTATTATAATAATCTGTATGATAGGCATGTCCACATATATATACTTTTCTATTTAATTTACTAAATGATTTTTTGCATTTATCACATGTATTTTGTGTTGGTTTACATGATGTAAGATAACCTGTTGGAAGACATTTAAGCTCTACAGTTTCATTTAATCTTGCAATATAATATTTTTGGCTTGTGTTTTTTTACTCTTATTAAGATTAAGATAAACTTTTTGAAAATGTTTTATCAAAAATAAACTACTTTTTTTTGTTAAAAAATCTAAATGTTTTGAATTATATATATATGATTTTTTTGATTTAAAAATATCAAGTTGAGTTTTGTTACGATTATAATCTAATATATATGCTTGTTGTTTGATTTCTTTAATAGTACTATGGAATTAATATTTGCACAAAGATGACTATGCATATTTTCTACAAAATAATTATTAAAATTTACTAAATGATTAGATAAAACTTCAGTTAATAGATAATTTATATCACTCCAATAAAAATAATCTGAAAGAAATATTAAAGGTGCTTTGTTATAATTTTTTCTTTCCCATCTTAATGCAAATGTCCATAATCTAAATATAGTTTCAATATATTGATCAAATGAACCTGATCTAAAGAGTACAGCATATATATCTAATGTTGCAGGTATTAAATTATCTAAAATATCTAATAACATACGATATTCTATATCTTTATATATAGGATCAAATTTAGCTAAAATTATATGAGCTATAGCTTTCCACCCTTCATGAATTAATTCTAATATTATATTAATTCTCCATGGTCATAGATTTTTAGCCAATTTTTTTTATCGCCAAAAACAAATTGAAAAAATTGTTCAAAAAAAGTATAATGAACAGAAAACACTGTTTCTCGAAAATTTAAAAAAACATAAAGTGGACCTAAAAAGGAATAAAATTTGCAACATTATTTGGTATTGAAGTTGGATTTAACCTAGATTGTGTAATTATTTTTCTAATAAATAATTGTCCTGGCCAATCTGCAATAACTGGAATTATATTATTTTTAAATATTCTGATAATGAATTAATATTTGTAATCATTTTAAAAGCTTTTAAATAATCATTCATTGTATGTAAATTTAATTTTTTAACTTTAACTACTCTTATATTTTTCATCAATCTTTTTTCCTTTTGTTCTTTAATTGCATTATCATATATATGTAAAGTTAATAAATCTATATGATTTTGAGAATTAAATTGAAGATTTTGAGAAGATATTCATTCCATTTTATATTCATTATAGCTTTTATCAAAATAACCATTATATTTAGAAGTTAAATTAATTATAATTCTAGTTGGTTCAATATTTTTTGGATTAAAAAAAGAATGACCATTTAAACTTGCTAAAATTGGTTGTTGATTTTCAATTGGTTTAGTTACACATGTTGCTAAATGATTTGCAGTTGAAAATGTTGTGGTATTTGGTTGACGTAATATTTGAATATCATGAAAATCATCAATATTAAAACAATGAAAATTATTTAACTAAATAAATTAATAAATGTATACATATATTATTAATATTTTATATTAAAAATTATTAAAAAAATAAATAATTTACTTACATGAGATGCAAAATATTCATTAATTTTTATTAAATAATTATCTTTAATTTTTTCTCTATAATTATATAATGTTTTTGAATTTATAGTTATTCCAGCTTTCATAAGAAAATCAATTCCAGTTGTACTTAATCCACAAGATAATAAATATAAACTAAGATCTGTTTTATATTTATTTACATTTTGGCTACGTAATCCAGCTAAAAGATGATATTGACTAATAATTTGCTGTTGTGCTTTTATTTTATTTTTTTCAGTTCTTCTTTTAGAAACTAATGCATTAGTCATTTCATCTAAAAATCTATTTAATTGAGGTTCTTCTGTTTCAATTAATTGGTTAAAATCATTTGGATCTAATAAATAATTATTATTTTGTTTTTCATATTTATATAAAACCTTTGTTAATAAATGTAATTGATTAGAAAATAAATGCTGTTGTGCTATAAATAAATAATTATATTATAAATTAAAATATAAAATTTTAAATATTAATATAATAATAATATAGTAGATAGTATATAATATAATAATTAATATAGTAAATACTGTAATAAACTTACATATTTGAATTAAATCATTATTATTATTTTGAATATTTTGATTAATAATTATATTAATCAATTCATTAAAATTTGATCGATCAATAAATATACCATTATTAACAATTTTTACTTTTATATTTGAAAAATTATTAGGATCTAAATCTATATATTGGTGTTCTTCATAAAGTTTTAAATAATCAATTAATGTATTAGAATTAGAATTATTTAAACTAATTTTACTATATTCAATAATATCACCTAAATCTATAAAAGTTCTTGGTGTTGTATTTTCAGATATTTGATTTGCAAATGCAACAAAATTAACAATATTCATATAATGTTCAAAACAAATTTGATCTTGATTAACTTTTAAATAATTATATTGTGAATCAAAATATAGATCAATTTTAGTTTTAAGATCTTGTGTTACATTTCTATAAGACTTTACAGAATTATTGCAATTAGTAACTGCACAAGGTCCAGTAAGTTTTCGGCGAGGCATTTTAAAAATTTAAAAAAATATTTATAAATTTAAATTTATTGTTATAGTATGTATAATAAATAAAAAAATATATATATTTAGAAATATATAAAAATTATTTACATGGCCAGGACAACAGGTTCTTATATAATTTTTGAAAAACAAATCATTACCAAATAAAATTTTATTTAATACAAACATGATATATATTTGTAATTTGTAACTAACTCTATGTAATATCGGGAATTGAGCGTTTAAATATGTATTAAATTAGTAATACCAATATGTACAACAGTATTTCTTCTACGTATTGTGTAATACATACATAATTAACATATCCTTACATCTTTCTCATATTAACTTGTAATTATAGATGTATTGTAAAATACCAAAAGTTCCATTTAGTTAAGTTGACTTCCGGCATAGTTTTAAAACGGCTGGAAGTTTACAATATTAAATAGACCCACCTAGTATCGCCAGTTACATATAATTGAGCTTTATTGCCGTTAATGGTTTATATAATAATAACGCATTTGACTTTTAACATATGTAAGAATAATAATAACAAATTTTTATGATGAAAATTTTTATTTCTTTGAATAGTGTAATACCAAAAACTGGGAACGTGAGGATCAAATTTTAAATGGTATTCACAAGCAAAAAGAAAATGCTATAAAATCCGAAGTGATTGAATATATAGTTTCAATAAATTTATTGCGAAAATTTTTATTAATGAATTATAAAAAATAACCGGAATATGTAAGACTTCCGATCTATTGAGTGAGGACCAGGGCACAAAATTTCTAAGTGATGTAACTTTATTGTGATGCTTGTGATTATTCTCCCGCTGCTTCACAAAATTCTATCACTGTTGGTACTTCTACTACGTGCTTGGTTCTCCAACCATGGTTCATTTGCTTTTTTTTCGGTAAGAAGCTCCTGCAATATATTTAATGTTATGTAATCGTTATTAAATTTCAATCTACGCACAAGAATAATAAAATTATGAGGTCACAAGATTTTTGAATAAATAATTGAATTTTTTTTATATTTATTCAATTTATTAGGATTTATTTAATTATCGCTACAAGTTCTAAACAATTACATTCAATTTAAATGCATAGAAAATATAATGAAAATAAATTTTTTATACCTCATGAAAATTTTTTTTTAAAATTTTAGATTCGGATTCATTATCTTCTGAATTTACCAGATCGATCATTAAATTGACTTGTGTAATTGATTTGATTAAAACTAACATGAACATTTATTTAAATAAAACGCCCAACCCTAACCCTATCTAAAAGAAGCTCAGCACAGTCGAACACTTCCAAGCCGATTATCCTAACCCTATTTAAGGTTGATACTCGAATATTTTCCATAAAGTTTCTTAGTTTTCGTACTGAGAGAATATTGAGAATTGCATTATACCTAAATTAATATAATATTAGCGTTAGATTTAGAATAATAAACTTGCAAAAGCTTCATCTATGTTATTACTCTTACTTCGTTAACTATCTCAAGATCTATACATATTGCTTTCTCTTTCAACATACAACATATTCTAATTTATAAATTAAATCGTCCAAAATATCTAGAAATTGATTTAATTATCAATAAAGATTGTTTCTTATTTTCTAATCCGTCCTATTATACTACAACTCATAATTGTCAACGAATTAGTTTAATATACAGTAATTTAATAATGTCAGCGAATAAAAGAATAATAACTTAATCTTTCAAATATTCCTGACTTCTAAGAATTTCCACAAAATAGATTGGTTTAGATATATAGGCTTTTTAAAACTCTTAACGGCTAATTTAACATGCTTACACTTATAGATTAATAACTTAGTGATTTAGACGCGTTAGAAATTCAACAAACCACTAATAGCATAAAGTAAACAAGCCCTATAATTTATTAACACCTACTTTCGCTCTTATGAAAACTCTCTGGGGAAAGCGATTGAAAACGATTAGAAAAAGATCTCTTTTAGAGACACTCCAAACGAAGAAATTTTACTTATAAATGGGGGTACCTTTAGTTTAACTTTTTCTGGGTAAGCGGATTGTGAATTTACCGGTTTTTAGACTACAACCGCATATCAAATTTTCAATTGACCATATAAATAGTTTGTGTAACACTGATTTCGGAATCTGCTCAGCTAATCGATATCGATCTTCAATCGTCAAAACAATACTAAATATTCATATTTTTATTTTTATTTATACATCGATATAGCTTGAAGGTACCAGTCTGCAATTCTCAACATTCACGTAGCCTTATAAAAAAAAATTCGCTAATAAGGTCAAAATATTCCACAGCCTTGTTAGCCCGTGAATATTTCTGATGATGACATAACGCCGTGAAAATATAAAAGTTGTTCTACAGACATGACTTCATTGGTAAAAATTTTTACTGTTTTCTTAAGAAACTATAACTAAAATTTTCAGTTTGTTATGGAAATATTCGTTATAAAGTGAATTGACTGTATCTATTATATATTGGCAATTTTTTTGTTATCGGCTGATACACAAATACAAAAAAACCTGTAAGTAATTACTTCCCTTTGTTTATTTCGTTGTTTACTTCATTTCGTTTTGTGTTTACATATCAAGCTTATTTATCTTGTGAACAAATAGAAGTTGCATATATCCGAGGTCTTTACATCTCACCAAAAATCTTAGCCTTTAATTATCGATTCGGTTCTAACACATGGTGGGTCTAATATTGTAGATGACGCTTTGTTCGTGGTGCGATAGTTAGAAGATGCTTTACATCAAGCAACACTGCAGACGAAACACCTTAATTAAGTATATAAGTATATCACTTAAATGCTTAAAATGAACTAATTTATTTCACTATTTTATTATTTCATATTTTCTTTCAATTTTACTTCTGATATCACGTTTCTCTGGGTCACATGTCATAGCATCACGATCTCAATAGTCGGAGGTATTTGATCATATGTTTAACTAATTTATATTTAATTAACTCTTTCTTTGCTATCGGGCTAAATTTCTTTTTTAATGTTTACAGAGACAAGAAAATACGACAATTTTAATAATTGTTTTGAGAGAAACTTAGAGTATAACACTTATAATTCCCGTCCGAGATCTGCCATTTCCTGAAAGAGGAATGGTTATGTACCTTTCTCGTGACGTTTTAGGCCCGTAAATTTCTTGACCCTCTGGCCTAAATTTTTTTTAAAAATTTACGCTTTATGGCCCCGTAAATTTCTTGAACCTAGGCTCTGTAAATTTCTTGACCCTCTTGCCTGAATTTTGTATAATTCACGCTCTTGGCCCTGTAAATTTCTTGAACCTCTAGTCTGAATTTTGAAATTCACGCTCTATGGCCCCGTAAATTCTTCTTGAACCTTTTGCCTAAATTTTTTACAATTCACTGTATCTCCCGTCCGAGATCTACCATTCCTAGAAGAAGGATGGTTATGTACCTTTCTCGTGACGTTTTAGGCCATGTAAATTTCTTGGCTCTCTAGCCTAAATTTTTTTTTTAAAATTTACGCTTTATGGCCCTGTAAATTTCTTGAATCAAGGCTCTGTAAATTTCTTGACCCTCTTGCCTGAATTTTGTATAATTCACGCTCTTGGCCCTGTAAATTTCTTGAACCTATAGCCTGAATTTTGAAATTCACGCTCTATGGCCCTGTAAATTTTCTTGAACCTTTTGCCTAAATTTTTTTAGTTCATTGTATTTACCTGTCCGAGATCTACCATTTCCAAAAGTCCAAGGGCACAGTCACATGATATTCCGACTTTACAATTCTCCGGAAACTTGAATTTTTTTTCAAAAATTTTTAATCCTTTTTTTTTGTAATCCTTTATTATTATTATTATTATTATTATTATTATTATTATTATTATTATCAAAATTACTACTTATCGCCAGTGGTGATCATCACCAGTCCTAAGATTTGTTAGGGTTAGGGTTAGAAATTAGAGAA